ACAGTGAACTGTCGTTTTTATCTTAAAAGCGACTTTATCTCGTCTTGTCGTGTACACCTTACAATCCAAAAGGGGGTTTCAGTTTTACGGTGTAGGTACCTTTTTTAGTATTTTCTAGAGTTTTATCAGTTTTTGCAACTTAAATAATAACGTACCTATATATTTTATTAACGTTTTAAATAAGAAATAATTTTCTGAAAATTTCGATTGTTAGTTTTGAGTAAATAGTTTTAAAGTTATTGAAATTTAGGACGGCAGGAAGAGTGGAGCGTAGAGTTATTTATACCTGGTCATATTATTCAACCAAAAAAGTTCAATAACTTTAAAAGTAATAATTATCCTAAAGTGGTTATCGATCAGTGAAAATTGTCAGTAAATCATTCTTAATTTAAAATGTCAATTAAATATATATATAATATATAAGTTAGTATCTAAGTTTCTTAATTAAAAGGTCGGTACATATTAAAAGTGTAGTGGCACTTACGGTTCCATTTTGTGCATAAGGTTCTTGGAAACGTCACCCTAGTTGCCGACGTTTACGGACAATGGGGTACCTAAACCGGCGTGTTTCCCTGTAAGTCGTGGGCGTTGACCGTCTCCGGCGATGACTCATCCACGACGTCCGCCGTTTGTTCATATCAAGACTTTCACCGAGGTCGTTATCATTGCGCCATACCCTCTCCTCCCTTTGCTACCGTAACTTTGCTCTAACGGGTCTTGCAGACTCCTTGAACGCCGCATCGTAAACCCTTTTAATGTATCCTTGCCGGCGGCAAACGTTTTTTATCGTTTGCATAAAAAAAATAATCAAATCAAAAAACACAGACCCCCGTCGTGGTGTGCAATGTGCATAATGTAATACCGGTTTGGTCGTCATCAGCTGAGCTGAGGTTTGTTAAAGCGGCACGTGCCACTCCATAATAGATTTTAATAGTTTATCTTTTTTTTTTTTACTTAAATTTTTACTAAAAAGTGATCTATAGTTTTGTGATTTATGTTGTGTACTTGTATAATTATTATTTTTATGCAATATTACTTATGAAACTTACCAGATAAGAATAAAAGTACCAAAGAGATGTTAGTTTTTAATTAAATACAGCCCTTTTCCAAGTACCTATTTTTTTTAAAAATTTTATTGGGATTTTAATTGAAAAACAGACCAGAGTTTTTTTAAACTTCAGCCCGGGCTTTTTTGGGCTGGGCTTTTTTATGCCAACCCTGATTTGTTTACATTGGAAAGTCCACATTTCTAAAGGAAACCGAAGAAAACAGCGTTAACATCTCTCGATTTCTGCACAAAATAAATTTCTAGAAACCCCTGTCGTTTTTGTGCTGTTTCAGGCAGCCTAAGATTTTGTACTTTGAAAAATTAGTGAGTCAAAACATGGGTTATTATGGGCAGTAGTAATGGAGTAAATTAATTCACGATTAAAATGTATAAGCATTTAATATGTGTTGATAGTTATTTATATTTGATCCAATTAGATATGATATGATAAAAACTAATACTAGTTTACGCGTTTAAAGGAAAACTAGGTACAAAACGATGAACTTATTATATGAAAATTAATTTGCTTTTCACGCACGCGTTTAGTAGAATATTTTTGGAAATAATTTTTAATATAAAAATTTTTTTCTGTGTAAAAATAAAATCCGGACGTTAACACGTCGTCGACTTACAAGTTTACACATTTTGTAAAAACAATATATTATTACACCGTCGAGAGATTAATTTCTTTGGTATTTTTATCTCGGTTAAACGGTTTTGCTTGGACTTGGACTGCAAGCGTGCAAGCGTTGGTCTCTTTTACTCTGCTGTGTGTCTACCGCTGAAGTGTCTTTTGCCTTGCAACCATAAAAGTGTGGCTTTGCCGGGGTTATTGTTGCGAATTCTATGGTCGTTGAACCGGGTAAGCGGTAACGGCATGATGTCGATAAGTGCAAGCGAAATTCGTGTGTGTGTGTATAATATAATATATTATTATGAGCTGTACAGCGCCAACGTGAACCGTGTACCGCACGTCTGCTAAAGCAATAAAACCGAGAGGAATTTTTTCGGCTAAGGTTTTTTTATATATATATATATATACAGGGTGGCCCACGAAGATTTGACAAATCAAATAACTTTCGTTCTAATGAATATTTTTAAGATTTTTTTTTTTTTTTTAATAATTTATTCTCATTTACGCTATAAGCACCACGGTTTTTATTGCACTAGCTGTTTTAATTTTTTTAAATAATTTTTTTTTTGTCACGTTTTTGTTTTTATTTTCAAGATAGCCATTTTATTTAGAATACTTTTTAAAAAAGAATTAGTGAACACAAATTGTATTTTTATTCATACATTAAAAAGTTATACTCATTCGAAATTGATGAAAATTTGAAAATTTCTCTCCGCGTTTATTGTGTCGGTCATTTAAACGTGTTATTAAATCACAATTGTTCAGCTTTTCATTTTACCAAAGCTTTTTTTTTATGATTAAACGGGTACCTACAATATAAAAATGATTGATATTGGACTAACCACACTCGTGTAGACGTATTTTGCAGGGAGTTTATAGACTTAGAACACAGAATATATATATTGTTAAAATTGCAACGTGTACACTTCTGGCGGTCATTAAATCACGCTCTACACGGACCGGCCGGAATCCCAAAATATTATTGTATCTCTTCACTCAGACAAAATGCGAAACCACGACCCGACGGCTCTTCATGATACATTGTCTTACTGGAATCGCGCATTGTCAGTATACGGTGCACGCAGTCGCTCAATGTTAGAAAATAACTTCTTAAGCGCAACACAACGTCCCCCTACCCCCTTTATTTCTAGAGGGTAATGCCATTTGTTAGGCGTTGTGCGTTAAACAGTCCACGGTAGTAGTTCATAGGTTTGCAGAATAACCAAAAAGAAAAGAGACGCTTTTCAAGAACTACATGGATAGGTGGTTCTTATGGGGGATAGATTGCTAATTAGTATTTATATATTTTCTGTTGTCGTCCGGAATAATTGATGAATTTAGCGAATTACAAGAATTTTATCAATTCTATATTGGCAATGGATTGAAACGAATGCTTTTGAACTTTAACCGTGGATTTTTTTTTTTACTTTGCTTTAAACTGTCATTGTCTGACAACGTCTCTCGTGTCGGTGGACCACCGTCGTCCCAAGAGGAAGTCTGATGAGTAATACGTTCCTTCACGTTTTGTATACCTACTTCGTGACTATATATATATATATATATAGTTTTGTTAGACGTTTAATACAAGTTGATATTCGTATGCAATATATTATGTACCGTAAAACAGTCGTCCCCACCGGCGCTGCCATATGGTTGGACGGCCGTACCATCAGTAATAATTAGTATCGCCCAAAAGCTGTGTCGAATTTCCACTAGTACAAAAAAAAAAAATTGCTAAACACTGTTTCAACGATTCAAACTAAATTTCAACATGTGAGTCCCACATTAAACGCTAACAAATTGTTTTAGTATAGTTTGGCGATTTAGAAATTAATCCTACATAACACTTTACATTATCCGTCGTCGTTTTTAACTTTTAAGTTTATAATACTGTTCAAAAAACGCATTATATTTTTGGTAATATCAAGAAAACCGACTTGTGAATTGTTTTCAGCCGATTTTTCGATTTGGTGATCTGTGAAAATCTGATGATATAATAATATAGTGTAGGTAACAAATTATGCATTGACAAAGGGAAATTGTCTTATGCACACTGGCGCCCTGTCCTACAACAATGAACGGTTGCTAGTTGCCACACGTTCCGCATAGTACTTGTATTGTGTTCCCAGGAAACGTGACATACTATATTCTGATTGAAAAAAAAAATGTCTCTAAATATAGTAGTAGTATATGGAAAATAACATACACAGTATGCTTTTGCACAAATACATAACACTAAAGTTCTCCAAACTTTAAAATGCTATTTTTTTTTTCCATTAGCAAATAGAGTAATTTTAAAATATTGCTCCCTAACCAGAACTTGGCCAATAAAAGTAGCCATGGAGAGTGCACCAAGAGAGAGAGAGTACACGTGCAACCATGAAATCTTTTAATATTTATTAAATTAATATTTAGTAAAACAAAATCAAGTATTCATTTAGTGTTTTCTATTTTTTAATTTATTGGAGTTGCTTCACTTTTAATGATGAAAAATATGCGACTAAATGTAACTCCATCGAGCAAAAATATGTATACTTAAAAAAAATTGTAGTTACACCACTTTTTCATGGAACGAACCATATTGTAGGTTTGGTCACACGAAATGTCAACCTCTCCCCTATAAAAATCAGCAAAAACACATTAAAAAATTCGCCCATAAACTTTCCGAAAAACAGTCGAAGAAATAATTAGGTACTTAATAATTACTTTAAGATAATATATGCCCTAACGGCGGTCTGCTGTGAAAAACCAAAACATTTCCTGTCCAACCTTCTTAACGACAGCCAAGACCAACATTTCATCTTATCATCTCAATAATAATTTATGATAGATAGTTATTCTGCAAAAATAAAAATTGTAGGTCTTTCATTTGTCTGTTTGTGTGTAATTTCTTCTATGTACAAGTCGTTTTACTGTTGTCTCGGACCATATCCCACAAGTGTAAAAGAGATTGTCACACAGAGAAAGCACGCGCTCCGTTTTTGAACTGTATTTATGTTTTTTTTAACGGATTATCAGTTATCTATGTGTGTATGTATGGGTTGGCAAACGGTTGATTATCCGTGAAAGTATGTGTGCTCCAGATGAATAATATAAACGCGCTAGCCGGGCTTTGATTATTATTTCTAGGCAGGTTTATAATAACCATTAAAGTGTGCACATTGTAGAAAACAGTATAATATTATTGATAACTGGTTCGATGACTGCTCGGCCGGTGTCATGTGTCTGTGTACTTTTTATCGATCCGTAATCGTTTTTTATTGAAACCTGTATAATCTATATAGGTTATTAATATTTATATATATTTTTTCCTCGCAGGACGTTTTGGGCAAGCGATTGGACGAACGAACCGACCAAATGATCGACAGAGGACTGATCCGGGAACTGTGTGAATTCAAAAAAGACTTATCCCGTACAAGGGGCGTGTCAGAGTAAGGAATTAAAATATATTATATTGTACACGGCCACAGATGGATTTCTTAATTCCGCCATTATTATGCGGTTATGATGTCGCTATTTATGTTAATTATCTGTATTTTAAAAATTACAACAAAAAAAAAAACGTTTAACCGGTGGTACAAACCCTTCCAGATATACTACCCCGAAGGTAACGCAACCCCCCCAACCTTGTTGTGGTTTCCCTCGAGGACTTACGGTCCAAGTGATTTGTTAACAAAAATGATCAATATTACCGCGTGCGTGAGGAGAACCCATAATAACGACGATAAACGTGTATTAATCATGTGTAACAATAATAATTGTGGATTTAATTTGATATAGGTGGTATACCTATTCAACGCAAAAGTAGGTTATTTCATTAATTAGTCTTACATACAATAACATGTTTATTCGGTAACGTCGGTAATACAAACAAAACGTTATGGTGTGAAAATAAATTAACAATTTATTTCATGCGTTGTACCGTTGTTAAAAGTATTTTTTAATAAACGTTTTCATTTCCTTTGAGTCGTCGGTTTCGTTCGAACACCTTATTAAGTCATTCCTCGCCTTTGACACTGGCTTTGATTAACTTTAAAGGATCCTAGTATAACATTTTAAAAGAGTATTACGTAGTGTAAATTGAGCGTATCAAGTTTATACCGTATACGACGGTTTCCAAGTACTCAGGCCCGTTCAATTGAATAATTTCAATTTTCGATGCTCTTTTGTGAAATCCAAATTCTGAGGGTTGCTTTCTTCATGCCCGTTGTTTTACCATTGTCGTTCGGATAACTTCAATATGTACAAATATAATAATGAAATCTGTTTTGAATGTTTAGCTTCAACGTGGATTTTACCAAAGGAATTTTTCAATGCATCGGACTGAAACAGTTTCAACAATACTTGGAGTTGCCGGAAGAAAACCGCGATACGCAAGAAGGCCGTAAAGCCCTGGAAGACGCTGTGCTAGCCATGAAGCTGGTTACGAAAAACTACGCAAGACGTCAGACGCGATGGATTAACAACCGTTTTCTGCACGCCAGCGACAAACAGGTAGGTAGGCGTTTTAATAACACTTACTGTTTTCCGTTTCTTTTTAAAACATACAATTAATATTGTTTTTACTTTGTACCGCGTTTTAGGCTACATCCATCTACAAGTTGGACTGTACCGATCTTAGAAACTGGGATCGACTAAGCGAACAGGCTGTCCACTTAGCCAATGTGGTAGTTGGCCGCAAACCGAGACTGGACGATACGCTCAAGCCGATGGTCGTGGACAAACAGCCAGCCGTCGCACCAGTCTTCGGCAATTTCCGTTGCGAGGAATGCGATCGATTATTTTGTAGTGAGTTAAAACTGTATAAGTCTATCGATTGAGTTCTACAAACGCTCACATTATGACAATGTTTAAAATCATTTTAAAACTGTTATGTGTACGGCTTGGTTTAATTTGATTTTATCAAATCGTTTTAGACGATGTACAGTACAATATTCACAAGACGTCGAGGAAACACCAAAGAGTGTCGTTGAAGAGAAAACGAAGGTCACAAGATAGTGGATCGACCGAATCAAAACACAAGAATAGCTAAATTACGATATGCAAACTACCGTGTTTATAGTGATACCTTTGTTCCTAAATGTCTTGATCAAATACGTCTTGTCGAACGATACCGAAACGTTTTGATATAGACCAGCCTATGTATTTATTTTAGTTAGGCACATTAAAATATTAAGCATTTTGTAACAATTGTATTTTTTCAAATTCTGCATTTTGTTTGTAAAGAACTTGTCAGTCCTTGTTTTAAGTTTTACCTGTGACCTAATGTGTTTCTATTTTTATCTTATTTATAATTTTAATTCACTTTGAAATTTGTTATTAAATGTGTATTCTTAGTATGAAGAACGAGACTGATTATGATATTTACAGTGAATAAATGCATGCAGGGAAATCTATTCAACGTAAGCCGCTAAATTTATTAAAAAAATAATTACAACTTTGTAGTTTTCCTTTTGGAAAAAAAAATGTTTTTTATTTATGTTATTTTACAATGTTAAAAATTTACCCTAAATGAGCGCTGTCAACTTTTGAAATTTAAACCATGACTTTATGTAACAAGAATTATTTGCCGATAATGCTGATGTGTCGGTACCCAGTTTTGAATAATTACTTGTAAAAAGTTCATGAAATATAAACGTTACCGTTTGTGTGTTATGTTAAATGGATCACCCTGTATTTTTTTTTGAACTATTTTCGTGCCTTAATAATTTTGATGACGTACTATCAACCAGTTATTGTAAGAGTTTATTTCTTACGACACCGTTACAAAAATTGCAATAGATGTCAAATTTAATATATATGTATATATATATTTATTACCGAGATTAAATTATTATGTTATGTCTAGTACTAGAGATTGGTACCTAATTAACATTGTCTTTTTAATTGCACATTGAATATTAATTCACACTACAAAAGTAAAAAATATGAAAATTTTATCATTTTACCAAGTTGGGCTCTATTTATTTTGACACACGATTAAAAAATTTGATAAGTCGAGGTTAATTTGTAATGGCGGCCAATTAATAAATTACTATTTAAATGTTAGTGCATAAAAAAAAAAAGACTGGCTTAGTGTGGACTATTGTTTAAAACGTCGTGTAATATTAGTATCATTGTTTTATGCTATTTTTTTCAAAAATAGTTAAGTCTTTAAAACAAAATGTTTTCCTTAGAACGCTTCTTCCTTTTGTTTTATTTTTTCGTTTATTTGTTAAACAACGGCATACTTTTGTTAATTGAAATTTACGTAAATCCGGAAGCGTGTCCGAGTTTAAAATAGTTTGATTAAAAACTTTAATTTTTAAAGTTCAACCCTTTAAATTTATTTACTTATTGTATACTCTCGTTGCATTGGTGTGTGTTACCTCATTACTTTTCCTAATCATTTGATTTTCGCATAGCTTTTAAATTTCCTACAATTATAATATATTGCTTATGATAAAAAGATGAAAAAAATTCTAATTGGTCAATTACATTGCTGTACATTGAAATAAGCAATTAAAGAGTAAATGTTGTATTTTAATTAATAATTACAATCGATGTCATTTCGATGGTATTGCAAAAAAAGAATAATATTATATCTTAAACCGATTTCTGACCCAAAATAATTCAAACCTAATAATAAGAAACTTGCAAATCATAAACATAAGGTACTTAACTAGATTAAAATATAATGATGTATTTCCCACTTGACCAACAAATATCCCAAAATATAACAAATTTTAACGGATTTTTTTTATGCGTAAAAAAATTGTTTTTTAACATTTAGAAATTTTCAAATTTAATTGATTTAATTACACGAAACAGAATTTTTTAAATGCAAATGCATGGTCTTACGTGACCCTTTAAAGTAGTCAAAGAACTAGAATGTCTTTACAAAATTCAAACCTGGTCCTGTGATATTATGAAGTAGGTGTAATTTTGTCATGCCTTTAGGTTTAAGATAAACCAAAACGGCTTTTACCCAATAGAAAACATTGTAAAAATTTAAAAACTGCAACGAAGCTAAAATCATACCTCGAAGCTACACCGCAAAAAAGTTATACTTAGTGATACAAAACATAATTTTTCAAAATTTACTGCCGCCAATTGTGTGCTGCGATCTAGCGGACAGATTTTGTACTAAGTTTTTTTATAATTTGAACACTAGAGGCTAGCTGGTGCTCTGCTGGGTTTTAAACAATACAAACAATAAAAGTTAAGTAACTAATATTACTATAAATAGGCGACCATGTTCTGGATTAACATAAGCAATAGGATTCAATCGAGTAGATGACACTATCAAGTTCTAACAATACAAGTATGAAGTCGGATACAAGTAACAGTGGCCAGTGGCCCTATAGTTCAACAATTTATGGGTACACCCGCTTGTCCCAAATACATACATGCATGGCAACTATATTAAACGCCACTATTATTAATAATATAATTAATAATATTATGTACAAACATTTTACAGATACATAAAAAAAATGATTTTAATCGTTCAATTTTCTACACGAACACGTGCAATCTTCAGTAACCGGATAAGGAACTTTTATCCACAAACATCTGTACTTCTTCCGGATTTTCTTTTTGGCATTTTTGAGCTTGGACTTCTTCCCGTTTTCTGTTGTTTCTTCAATCGCCGAAACCGTTGTCGATGATTTTCTCAGTTGCTTTCTCTTTTTGTTTTTTCTGTTTTTCAACCTGCACAGACATCAATGTACATTATAAATTATATCTAACATTTTTTTTATGCCAACAAAATAATCAGTCTTATATCATTTCGGCCTCATCCATATTTTAAGATTGATAAAAAAACTATTGATCATAAAATCAACTGTAGCAGTACACATTAAATGGTTTTCTAAATATTTATGTAGGCATTCTCCCCCTCCTCATAACTTTTATAAAAGATAATTCTGAAACAGTAAATAAAAATCTACAAAATTGAAATGTATTATGTATAACTATTTGCTCGGATGACTCGTGACCACAATTAAAAATTAACTACATTGAAAAGTTGCTATACAATCATCATCCAACAGGTTTGGGGATCCGGGCTATGATGCTAATAAAATAATCCACCCTTGTTTGTACCACTTTTGTTAGTTTGCTAATTTCTCTGAGTACGGTTTTCAGTAGGCATATTAACTAGACCCCCTCTCTCAAAAATTGATCTAGGGACCTCATTGGGTTTATTAAACTGCACAGGGTAATCCCACGCTTAACATCTACCTGACGCGAGTCTTAGTGTAAATAGTATTTTGTAACGTTTAAGAATTAAATTTTCTTATTTAGAGGACAATAAAGGGAATTTATACGACAATGTTTGTTTTTGAAAACATCAAACTAGGTTTCCTATGAACGTTGACTGGTTTTTCCTATTCTCAGTGTAGTAACTAGTATCGTCAACGTCAAGTATAACATACTGTAATAATTATAATTAAAGAAGCCACACGAATGCGCAGTAGGTTTTAAACATTTAAATTTAAACAACAAATAATTAGGTACTTCAAAATACATTTACATTTACACAAATTTAAAAATAAAAATGTGTTTAAATAAATTGTATCAACTAAGTATCTGGACTATTTATTTGTACATCAATTATTTGAAATCGTGTCCAGAGGAAACATAGGGATGTAAAGTTTAAAACTTAACCACTTCCTCTTAGAAAACGAGGAAACCATAAAACAACTTTTTTATTTTATTTATTTAATATTAACTTATTTTATCTAATTTTAGTCGATAAATAAAAATAAATATATAAAAAAAATAAATAAAAATCAAATTATATGAAAAATATTTTGGGTAATGCAAGTTTACAGTTTGAAAATATTTGTCAATGAAGGATTTTTCAGAGACCTAAAAAAATTGACACGAGCAACATGTAAAAGTAAAATATAGTTTTTTCTTTTAACAGTAGAAAGTACATATTTTTTAGTACGCTTTTAAAAGTGGTCCGGTTTAAGTTTTTAATTAACATTTGAGTTTTTCATAACAACGTACAAGGTATCGATTTTTTAAATTTATTTTTAGTTAATTATTAATTTCTTCGTGAAAATTGACAATTTTTACAGTTTTTCAATGATTTTTACAATAATATAAAAAATGTACTTTGATCGATAAGCTTGCTAAGATGTTTTAGATATTTTAGTGTAACTATGTGTTTAAACTTTAAAAATTTCGATATCAAATTTAGAGGGTCTATTATTTTGCGTTATCGCTTATAATTGATGTTTTAAAGAGTTTGGTAATGGCAATATTTAAGAAAAAAGGGGTTTTAATACATTTCGACCATGAAAATTAATTTACCGATTAATTTGTGTAAGCTTCAAGGTATTATTTTTAATTTAAATAATTTTTTCTGGGAGTGAAAGCCATTTTGGTTTATTCAAAGCCAGACAAACTTTCGACTAAATAAGATGGTCTAATTTCAATTCTGTGAAGAGGTTCTTGTTGTTTGGCTAATTTTCTATGTTATTTAGGAATCAAGTGTCATTGATAATATCACTTAGGGTTCGAATACTCACCAGCAATGCCATCTTAACAGGTTCAGCACCCTTATGGACGACGGGATGCAAGACATGCCGGGCGGCCAGCTACAGCTCATGGTCTCCGAACGGCCACACCGACCCTTCTTGATCCATCTGGGCCAAAACGACTTGCCCAAGTCCGTCCAGACATATTCGACGGGACACGAACCCCTACGCACCAGCCAATTGCGCATCAGTTCTTGATACTGGACCGGAAGCTGTTCGGGCAGTTGAATAGCATCCGGTGTGGGTGGTGCGGACATGTCGAAATCGAATATGGCCGAAGTAGAATTTTCCTGTGCCTATGCGATAGAATATATAACGTCTTATGAAAATTATATCTTAAGTCAATCATACGGTATTATACACAGTACAAACATTAATAATATATGTGTACCTAATCAAGACAAAACGGAAGAACGCAATTGTTTTATTTAGTGTAATGATTTTTTCAGTCGATAGGTAAACTCCTAATTGCAAAACAACAAATGAGTAACATGAATTTTAACGACAGACGACCGTAATTTTCTTTACGTACATTACACGCGTGGATAGATAATAAAATATATTTAGTATCTTTAAATCTTTGACAAGAAGCTAAAACGGATGTATTATTTTACATTGGCTGTAAGTTGAAAAATCCGAGTCGTGTTCACGTGGGCGCTCCCTACGCAAAACACTATCTATATAGATTTGATTTCCGTTTCTCTGTGTAAAAGTAAAACAAGTTATGTTTTTATAGAAAAAAAAAATAATAATAACATCGCACTTACATAATTGTGCTAGTATTCAAATTGAATGTTATTGCAGATAATGATTTCAGAAGATTATTTTTATTTTTAGGAGTCTGGGGCACTGAGATGATTTTGAATGGGATTTTGTGTCATTAAGAACCACATTTTACCTCTGTTGGCTCGTTGGAAAAAAATACTCAATTTTTGGACGATTTGCCGGTGCGTGGTAAAGTTAGCACCTTCACGTGTGTTTCTGGTATAACTTTATATAAGGCCCCTAACAAAATCTAGCAAATTCTTAGCAAAAGTTCAGTATGACTTTTATAGTCCTAGCATAATGTGCCGTTGCCAACTTGATCCATATCAATATCTTTCATATGCATTTTGAAATTAACAATTTTTTTTTAAATTGTTTTTCAATTGTATTGAATAATATAATATAAATTAATATTTATAATTTGACAATAAATTAGCAACGTTTTTAGAATGCCATTTTTCAATCTCTGAACTCCTTGGACAAAACCCGTTTTGAACATATATTTCTAATACAAAACAATTGTTTTGACAAAATTTCAATTTTGATTTTTTGTATATTATTTTTTCTAAATGTTATAAATTGAATAATTATACATGAAATATGTACACAATATCAAACAAATATTTTACTTATAATTAGTGGCAAAGAACATGAACAGAAACCATATACTATGTTCTTATTCCGAACAGAGTATAGTAGACATTTATTATTATTTTACGTTTATCACTAAGACTTTGTCTCACTTAAATTTATGACACTATGGCCATAGGCGCAACTAGACATATATTTTAGGGGTGCTAAAATTATATACACCAGACTAAACATCATTTTTACCTTCAACCCATTAGATATAAAATAAAATGTTTATAAACAAAATTATTTTAAAATAAAAAATTTAAACAGAGTTTGTGCATTATTAAAATTGTATGCGTACAAATCAAGGATTGGGGCTTCAATTTTTGGAGGGTGCTAAAGTGTCCCTAGTTGCGCCTATGACTATGGCGCCCACTATGTAATATTCCACCTACAACATTTGGAAAATATTTCTACATCTCATTCATTGCCGCGTGGGATATTATAATTTACCATGACGGTATATTTGATGAGCATTTTAAAACACACAAAGCTTAACTTTTAACCGTCAAATGAGTATAATATTATGTGCACAATAATAATAATATATTTACCGTTATCATGGTGGATTTGCTCATCCACATGTCGTCGTAGTCGGATCCGATGAGTCGGTCTAGCTTATCGATTTTCATGTCTCGGTTTTTCGGATATCTAGGAGCCGTGTGGAACCACAAGCTGAAGGCGGTGGTCTTGGGAGCCGGTGTCGCCGTGTTGGCCGGTGAAACCGCAACGTTCAACCAGGTCAGTCCGGTCAAGACGATGTGATTTACCGAAAACGATGTGCTCGAGTATCGCATGACGTCTACGCGGGTGGTTTCCAAACAGTCTCGGCACCTTTATCCTTTTACACAACATTAAGGTATTAAACAAAAAAAACGCATCTCCAATAATAATATGTAATAAAACAGTCGTTACGATTATCACCGACACTGTTCTTAACGTGGAGCGGCGCGAGGTCAACGTGCGTTTAAAGTACTACTCGTGGCTGGAAATTGTTATGCAAATGGGGGGGTGCGCGCTTATGTTGTAGAATATTATTATGTGAATAGACCCCGACGAGATGCCGGTGTGGCCTAGCCGAGGTGACCGGTGGGGGTGGAGCAAAGGTTAAAAGGAAGAAGAAGAAGATTAAAAACACTAAGGAATGCGGGTTAACATAGCCGCCGCCGCCGCCGCCGCCGCCGCCGCTGCCTTCGCTGTCGTGGACACGTCGGTACACAGTTTAGAAATACCGACCCCAAAAACCGAATAATGGCCTGTAAGTATGTGCGCGTGAAATATTGTATTATTATTATGAGATAACACCTCGTCGAAAAGGTATTTACATTAAAAAAAAAAATGTTATTTCGCCGTTAAATTCTCTCTCGATAACACCTATGACGAATTTTGCAGACTACCAGACGCCGCCGTCGATATGAATCCATCTTAGTTTTAGTACAACATAAGTCAGCAGCTCGTTCACTTCTTATCGGGAAAACCGTGTAACCGGAAATCGTCGGTAAGTAATTACGCAAAAAAGCATTTTCAAAAGTCTTAGCCGCTTTCTACGCTTCAGAAAGTATAACACCTCATCCATCAATCGTTGCCCGCCGCCGTCGGTCTAAGTATGTTTTACTTGCCTAAAAATAGTGAAAATTAAAGGGTTTTTTTTTTTTTAAGTCACCACTGACAAACGGCGACGTCTGTGCGATTAATGGTGAAAAATATGCGTTTTACAACTGGACGGCCGCTCAAGGAATGTTAATAATCTTAAAATAAAAACCACAAAGCCGGCATTATAAGTGAATAAAAATTGGTCTGGACTCGTTTTACTACATACAATGGCCGTTTATATAATTTCGTCTTTTATACACGCTATCGTCCGTATCGTTTTCCGCATCTGGCGAATTCTTTGGAAGAAAACCAAGATTCTTATTTTTTTTACTTTTGGTTTGTTGTAAATTATTTTATGTAAATCGATATCGACAAACGGCGGTGAACCGCACATTGTATACATTATAATGTACAGGACAATAATCCGGTAAAATATCAATAATGATAAAAAAAAAAAAACCCATAACGTTTACTCGATCCCTTCTGAACAGCGAACATTATAAACTTAAACTCGAATAATATCCTATTGTAATTAGGATGAATATTTTGCTTTTCCCAAAAGCGTCTAAAGCCGATCACCACACCGGCGGCAGCCACTACTCGACGGAAGCGTATAAGAAAATGTAAAAAAATAAATAGGCAAACAATAATAGTATTTGTGTATCACCTACCTGCGGTAGTGTAGGTCTTGTCCAGCGCAGGTTAAAGTAAAACTGTCCACCGTCTGAGACAGATCGACGGCCTTCCAAAAACGTCTTAAAATTCCCCACCTAAGATCCCCGGTCCCTTTCGGTGACATATCCGTCGCCGTCGACCCTCGAATAGGTTAGGTAGTACACGATAATGTTGTTTAGGTTATAGGACACGAAACGTTCTACACGGTGTGTGTGTAAAGCGCAACGGTAAATAAAAACAACATAATATTACTATTTTAGCAATATATATATATATACTATATTGTACTCCCAGCACGTGCTGTAGACGGTTGACTGATGCATCACAAGTCGGCCGAGTTCTTTATATTTTGTCAAATGTCACGTTTTCGGAATGTCGTTTGCGTGTTAAATAGCCAGGAACGGATACAAGGAGGGTTGTACTTCAATCGTACGCATTAAAAGTGAATTTTTATGTTTATTTTTTTTTTTATAATATAAAGACTTTAACATCAGTTCCGTCTTTACCCAAAGGGCGCGTTAGGTACGAGCCCAGGGCTCACGGCCTGATGGGGGCCCCGAATTTACATCTTGACGTTTTTTTTCTTTCTTAAAAAGCCCCCAAACTCTGTGTGCCCCTGCATAGCATAAGACATATATTAAAACAAACCCTTCGACTGCTTTACTTTTTACTGTTATTTAATTTTTATAAGAAAATTCTATCTATATTTTCAAAAAATTCTTATCTCGTTTACGGGTTGAGGTGAACATTTTTTAAAAATCAACTTTTTTTATTTGTACTTCTATAAGTGTACACCAAATATCAAAAAATGTAATAATCAAAAGTCAAATTGGATTCTAGGGTCATCAATACCCTTCATTGAGATTATTTCTTATTTGCCATACTGGGTTTTATTTTAGAAAAACACATAGATAAATAATTGTAAAGGACTTAGGTCCACATAAACGCGTGGATTGCCAGAGTCAATACAGTCTACGGAAAAGTATTTCGCACCTTCTATTATACTACATTAGTGGTACAACTTACTTCAGATATATTATTTGTGACGAATTTGTATAGATTTGAAGAAAAAAAATGTATTTGTTTTGTCTTAGGATGTGCCTGGACACTTTCGGCACACTCTGTAACTCCGCCTATGGTATTTGAGAATTGAGATCAATTATGGGACTGAAGGAAAATATTAAAGAAGACAATTAGAATGAAGTATAGTTGGATAAAGCGAAAAAGTCCTAGTGTTTGGTCAGGCGAAAAGAAAAAAAATGTAAAAGAAAAAGAAAATGTTATAAAATTAGTAAGGGCATGTATGGTAGTGAGTGTTGGGCATTGAGTAAAAGATGAAAAAAAAACAAAGTAATATAATTAGAGGTGGTTGTCTCTTCTCTAGTTAGGAAGTTATGCTATAGCAAGGAAAATGTAAGAAGATCCAGAGGGCTTGACATGTTGAACGAAAGAAGGACAATCCAAATATAATAAGGGTGATATAAACATGGGCCGTAACTCCGTACACAAGAATTGAATCACTTTACTTCTTTAGATGGACTACTCGATGGCCAACATTTTGGTCCATCCATTACCGTTTGGCATACAAGTTAAAAATATCTTAAGTGTAGCGTTGAGCTTTTTAATTCTTAGAACAGTGGACAACGATCAAACTCGTCCGGTGTCAACTATGTGACATACATTTAGCAACACTTACCGAAATTTACCTGTCACATAGTTAAAAGAAAAGTTAGGTATCTTTTCGCTGACCCGCAACACTTCTCAGAACGCTTCTTTTTGTCTTTTTCGTGGACGTCGTCCGGACCCTTACCGACGATGGCTTCGCGGATGATGATGATGATGATGATAATAATATGAATTGTGTTACCCATTACAATGAAATACACATAATTGTCCGCGGTGGCGCATTGCAGCACACAAACGCATTCCGATCAGGACACATCGCGCGCCGGCACTTTTTAATCGAATACATATATATAGATATACATACCGTTGTCTGTATTGTACTTGGACCAGGACGTCGTGCATGTCCCGGAATAAATAATAAAATACTTTAGGTATAATATAATAATATGGTCGACGCCTCGTGTAAAGGTACACAACACGTTCTCCGGATTAAAAATAAACAACCCGTCCGGCCTTTATAGTGTTAAGCCGGAAATTGGTCTGACCCGGGTGGTTGGTGCGCGCACACTACAAAGCGTTAACCCCTCCCCGCGGGTGGCTCCTAATTCTTCGTCTCCTGTCTCTTATTAGCACAAACACCACCCAGAGATAAACAGCTACACAGGCGCCCTAACGTAAGCTTACTGCCTTTTATGTACTCTCATATACAAGCTATAATATTCTGTTTATATCGCCGTTTGGGATGAGGGCATACAATAAAATATGAGTGATTGTGATTTCTGTGTAAATGGTAATATAATTGGTATTTTATTCGTCGACACGGTTGCCAATCCGTAAAGGTATTTTTATGCTCTGGTTATATTTAAATCAGTTATAATATAGTGGTTAAGCTTGAAAGGAATACAGCGAAACTCGATGTCAACTACAGCAATAAGATTACTCACCTTTGATCTAATGAATGTACAACTGTGAGTGAAGTTCACTTGATTCCTGATTGACCTGGTCTGTTTTTTGTCTTATTTTTAATTTATCACTGGTCTTTATCACTACCCATCTTTGCTTTTACTGCAGCTTCCGAAGAACTAACCTGGACCAAACTCGTCCATGTCAGGTGCTAATTCTCAATGAACACAATTCACTGTCTGCTTTTAGCCTAAACCCATACGAATGAGATAGATTTCATCCTTTATCATTTCTCAATCACAACTCCTACATGTTATCTTAATTTATAATACAGCCACTCACTTCTTTTTTGGTCAACTTCTAACTTCTAAATCCCTTTAAACGAATCTACTATGCCCGTTTTGTCAACAAGTCACCTTTGGCACGACTTCCAAGCTACTTCTTAACACTCATTTCTAATTTCATCTAAGGTATTCACTCCACTCACCCATTCTGAACTTGTTCTCATTTTACCTACTGTAATATTCCTTTGATCTCTCTTATTCAATGTCCAACGGCCAACACTCACTTCTGCACCTATATATTGTTATGTCTCCTGCAACGAATTTCTTTAACACTCTAACAAACTTTTACTCGTGTCTATTAAAGCTACGCAATTCCCAAATAGTAGACGTCATAGGGTTTCGCCCTGAACGTATATTGTAAAAATAAGGGTTCAATGTTGACACAAAGGCCATCTGGCTTCTGTCTTGTGTGTTGCATGACAAATACCCAACACGGAACACCTCTTTGGACTTGGCTTTGCATATGGGAAAATCGCCTACAGTTTATTTATTCCGACTATTTGGAAATTCATATTGAGCGTTAAAACTGAAAAGAAAGTCAATATATTTTACGTCTAACTATTTCCATAAGTGATACACGTACTGTTTTATATGTAATGCAATATAGTGTGTACATTAAAAGTGTGTGTGTGCGGCATGAGTAGGTATTAAACCGTGTACACGCGCCCTTCGCGACTTCCTGTAATTTTTAATTGGCGGGAAAACAAAAACCTAGTCGTACAATTTCCATGTTCATTTCGCTGCAAATCATTTTATTTAATGTTAAAAAGTTGACCGCCCAAACCTACGTGTTTAAATCCCACGCAATAATATATCGAAAAGAAAATAATTTACCAATGAATTTTTAAAATAGCTCATATAAATATTATACTATAAACACAAGAGTGTGATCCTGGTAGAACCACTATAATATGATATATGATAAAACCATTTTAGGTACATTTCTAAGGATTCATTTACTTAGATTATAACATGCGTGTAGGTATGGCTACCGTTCATTGTAAAAAATACTGTATAAACGGGAAATTGAATGATTTGTTTTCCTTAATTAAAAACGTTACCATGGAATAAGTAGGGGGTACTTGTAGATATTAACTCGTTGAAAACTCTTATGGGTTTATAAGAGTCGCGTAGATATTTGTAGGATACTTATATTTAATGTTCCTAGTGGGTTTCTGTGCTCCCACTGATCTTACGCACACAGACTCCAATATATTTATTTACATATGTCTCTGGTTAAGAGACATAGACGTGTTGCACAATTATCAGCACAGAAAGTGATTATGCAATTGTTCGTTTCTTAAAATTAAACGACACACCACATCACATAAAGATTAAAGAATGACTGCTGTTTAATGTATTGTCATGTATTGTCAAGTGCGTACAAGAGTTAAATCAGAGCAAGAAAAAAATAGAAATTCGATGGCTTGAAAATAAGTAGGTCTAAAACAATAATGTTTTATTTAAATATAATATAATATATTTATTATCTTATTTTTTTAATTGGAATTCGACCAAAAAAAAAAAAAAATGTAACAATAGCAACGTATGAAATATGTACACAAAAATAAAAATTACCGAATATTAAAAAATGTATCTAATAAAAATAAATATCTCGAATGGTCACATATAAGGATACTAGCGTGCTTTCCTCTTTCCTATCTGCCTTTCAATCCAATTGTCGGCTATTGAAACGTTCTAATAGAAGTACTTAAAAATAACTAGGTAAATTCAGGAGCCCGTAATTTGTAACGCTGCACTGTCCTCCTATTCCTTAAGTCCTAATAACTCCAAAAATAATGTTTGATTACTGAATATCCATAAAATAATATTTAAGTTTATTTGAATTACAAAAATTGAAAAATGTCGATAGTACATATTATATTATGGCGATATTGTAATCGGGAAACCTGCATTTTTTCGGTATAAAACAGAGTGTAAAAGCTCGCGTCCGGTTGAAATAATCGTATGTTATCGTGTAGGAACCGCGTTTCCGGTTGTCTGTGAATTTTTTATTTTTGGTGGGCCCCCCTCCGAGGGCGATTTAACGGTTACATATTATTCAGATTAACCGGGACCCGGTCGTGCTCATCTGCCACAGGTAGGTGTCATAGGTGTCGTTAATGTCGGCGGAGGCGCCTGCCGACATTGCGGCTTTCCGACGGGGGGGCACCGGCGCGGCCGGGGCGGAGTCCCGTGGACGCGGGGGCGGACGGACCGAACGACCGGTGCCGACCGCGGACGAGCCACCGGCCGAGCGCCTGGCGCCAGACAACGGGCTGCGGGCCCCGGGCGGACGCCGGGCACACGGTAACGGACAACGTTCAAGCGCGTCACGCGGTCGGTCACACTCCGTTTAAGCCGTACGTCACGCGAGCTTTTTCATCAGTTTGATAAGTTCGGTAAAAGTTCGAAATTCCAAGTACACGCGTTTTTCGTCTTTAAGTTTTGTTTTATTCCGCGATCCAGTCGAAAACATCTCCGGAAAATTTTTTTAAATTTATTTAAAATTTTTGTAATCTCTTATAAATTATAGTCGTCGGGCCAGTTCGTTTTTCCCGCCAAACGTGTCGGTTGTATTTTCATATCATTCGCTGCCGACTTCTATTTCTATTATTTGGCGATTTATTATTTTTTTTTTCAATTTTTGTTCGTGATTTAACGGACCATGTGCCCTGGAAAAAGCTGCTTGAACGATCGACGATAAAGGTACCTTTCATTACACGCGATTTCTTTTGTTTTGGTGACATTCCAGTTTAGCTTTGTGAATAAAACCCGTTAGAACTTTACACCCAATCGAGCTGTATACATATGATGGGCACAGGGGAAGAAGGGTAGTAGTCCATGTACGAAAATGTTAGGGTATATCAAAAACAAAGTTCGTGAATCCCTCTCTCTCTTACATAAGAACAAAAAATAATCACATTAAGTGCTATTCTACTAAAAAATGTATTTATTTAAACAATCTATTGATATAAATAAAATAATTAATGGCATATATTGAAAAAAACTATTTGAAAAAAAATGTTTTCATAAATGGACTACTACCCTTCTTCCTTTGTGCCTTTCATATGTGTAGGTACTTTAAACTAGCAGTAAATGAACATTAAAGTGACAAAATAAAGTGTATATTACTCAGTTTTTACACGTATGATGCTGGTTGTCTGATGTCTGATTGTTAGTTTGGTTAAATTGTTAATATTTCATAAATAGTGTAAATACGAAGTCATGTCTGTGTCGTATTAATCGTTATACATAATAAATATGTGTGGTCATGGCCTTCGAAATAAAAGGGCCTCACAAACTAATTATTTTTCAAGGCGGGAACGGGGGCGGTAAATTATTGGGAGCCCCATAATTTTCGTCTTGAGATTTATAAATTTATATAATATGTATGTAATATTATATCTCCTTTTCTCTCTTGTAGTTATACAAGTTCGCCGTCAGTTTTGTTTCATGCGGTAAATTACTCTTATTTGTCTGTGACATGAGTCATGACAGCTGCCAACTTAATTGGTTAGTACCATAGGGTGAGGCCTCAAATATACAACTTAACGTCGCTAAGTGCCAAGTTATCACCATACTACCCTATGGTTAATTATGTCATCAAAAGGGCCACTGGATCTTGGCTTCCGTTTATCAATCAATTCTAGTCCTTTCTTCATATTGAAGAAATTTGCTATACAGCACTTCAAACTCTTGGACTGTCCGTGAATATAAACTGTCAGTGTCTTTGAAAATTCTCCACTGTGCCTTTGTCAGACCTCTACTGTAATATGGGACGGTTTTTAGGACCCATACAGCTTTGGTGACTCTCTAATGATAGAATGGGCGCAGAGAAAAGGTTTACGGTATACTTCGTTTGCTCTTAAAGTCCCTTTCACGAATACACACCTGTCAGCCATTTGTTGGACTTACCTAGCCTTGCCGATCGTAGGAAGGTATCTGGTGATCACTTTCTTTTTAATTTAATATCCTTCCTTGCTCGCTGAGATTAACTTCAAAGTTCCCTCCCGTATGACCAGAAACGTTGCTCCATGTTTTCATTCCTCTCAACCTACAATTTTCTTCACATTTCACCTCTAAACCACCTCATACATCTAGCCATTGTGAAACCGTCTTAATACCACTGTTAATTCTGATATTATTCATTTTTCTTCCAATATTATTTTATGCGTTACCTAGTCATTTGTATTATGTTTATAAATCTATTATTATTATTATGCACACAACTTGTATTTTGGACTTTTTTGTACGTTTAGTTAACAAATAAAATTTTAAAAAATAACATATTTATATTTTGTTTATTTCAAATATATTCGAGTAAATTAACAATCTGCAAGAATATATATTTTTAGAGCCAATGGCGTTGGTTAATAAAATATATGGACTGGTTATCTTAAACCTAAGCCAAATTATCCGTCGGTTACAAACCCATCGATTTACTTTGAGTCTGTTCTGACGTTCGGCCATAACTTATTATTATTATAACATTACCATTTGGTAAGACACCATAAGACTACAATTTATTTGATTGTTTACTTCGAATGTATTTGAATTTGTTTTTTATTTATAATATTTCGCCTACGTTTAACCAATTCATGTTAATGTTTTTATGGCCAATGTGCATTATTATTGTCTGTGCACAACTCACAAGCCAATGCCGTATCTTACTCACGGTTACGATTGTACTACTACATTATTGAACACTTGACTTTTTTATTTATAGTGATAAAATATGTGTTGTACACGTTTAGGTACTAAAGTACTTAATTATTAAGTTCGACAAAACGGGGGCCAAGTATCGGTTTTTTTTCTACATTCAATCATATTGTTTATTAATAATAATATATTTTAATATTGATCGGTTTTTATCGGTCGTCGTGAGAATTTTATAAAGGAAAATCGCGTACCACGTCTCTGGCGCAGGTGCTCGGCAACAATAATGAAATAATAAATAAATAATAACGTATAATGATACTGTCGTTGCCCCCAAGAGCCGAAGACAATTTTAACGGCAAACACACCACAACAATGGCACGTTTCGGAGGTCGGCGAGAATACACGCATTCCATGCATATACCAGTATGCTCTTGTTCAAATACACTGCGATTATGATGTATATATACATTTTTTTTTTTTTAATATAAAGCGTTTATAGGTCAAAGCCGGGCTGGGTACGGTGTGAAGAATTTTGGGCTGAAAAGGACCGGACGTGACTCAAAGTCGCGCTTCTTACTATCATAATAAGAAGCGCGCAAATACCTAGTTTTATAATTTTGGCAACGCTGATATTGCCGGTTAGTGCACTAACCCGAACCCCACGATTTTTGGGTTCAAACCTCTGGTCGTTAAATTATATTTTGAAATAAGTATGGAATAATGTGCTGCGATGAAATCGATTAATTAATTATTCAAACTCTAACGCTGGTTTCGGCCTTATTTCATATTATAATTACCCTTGGACCGTACATAGAGACGGGGAAGTCTAAGACGGTTCGAGACACTTACTCTGGCGTTAGGTACGGATGTATAAGATTCCGAACCATAACACCCACACACTATTACGTGACCGCGTTTAATGGGGACCAATTTGTCGGTCGGCAACCAGGTAATTTCGGGTAATCCAAAGCCTCGGCGGTACGGTCACGTTTTAATGTTTTTTTTTTTTTATATTGTAATGCTTATGTATAATTTCGCCTCGGCTGTCTTTTACCGGAGAAAAAAAAATGGCCAGGACATAAGGTGCCAGCTAGTCTTAACCATAATAATATTTTTATATGCAATACAGAGTAGTCGAGGGGGCTAGTCCGACCGGGCAAAACTATCAACGGGAATTATCGTTTTTTTATTTTTATTTTTTAAATATTGTTTTTTTTTTACTATTGTCGTCTTTGTGTCACCCATAAAGTACGGAAAGGTAAGGAGGCTTACTTGAGTTTTCAGAACGTACGATTACTGTAAGAACGAGGGACAAAAGGCGCCGCCAACATCGACGGGCAAATCGCTTAAGACCGTAATACACATATTATATTTGTTCAATTTTTACACACATAATTCAATAGATGTGGTCGTCTGTTGTAAAATATAATCAACTCCAATAAATGCAAAAATTAATAAAAATAGATAACACCGAATGAATACTTGTACTTGTTTTCCTACATGTTAATTTACAAAAAGCTCGTTATTTCAAAATTAAATTACAAGGAGATAATTCACTTTTACAATGAACGACACATATTTAATTAAAAAGGCAAAGGGGTATTTTTAAGTATACCCTTTGAATATCAAAAAAAGCTAATATACAATTTGAAATCCATCCGTTTGTAAAATTGGGACTATTTACATGATGATTTTTATCAACGAGCTTCCAAACGATTTTTCCGGAACACTCGAAAGTAACAATTGTATGGAGTAAAATTTTAAAAGGCGACCGGGTTTAGAGTTGCGTTATAGGAAATTAATTAACAATTTATAGCAATAAAAGTATGAAAGTTTTGAACATATTTTCAAATAATTTGTTAATATTTTGTTTTAATATTATAAAAAATATCTTATCATATATTTAATGGATAAGTAGAACATTGGTAATATTTTCATAACACTTAACAGTGTATTTTATAAATAATATTTATGAAATATTTAACCATCTGACAAAGTAAGATTTAAAAATGTTAACCAACTTTTGGAAAACATACAATTTGTTTTGCTTTATGACGTTCGTGAAGTTGTAAAAACATCTATTGGGCGCTAAACAAATAATAATATTTATAAAATACTTTTGTCATTGTGTTCAGCTTGAATATACCTACCGCATTTACATAGACAATTTCTATAAATTCTACACTTTTTTGTAATTACTCGTAAATGTAATATTGTTTAAAAATTTAAATAAACCTAAATAAAAGTATAAATATTTCTAAAAAAAATCGCATACGGTTCGTAAAAGTTTCACGTCGAACTACAACCTTACATAAAACAGAATAATAAATAATTGTTCTTGTAGGAAAATAAAATAATAATAACATTTGTGTCGATGAAATATGGTAATGAAAAAATAGACAATTAACGACCACGTTGGCATTACAAAGGTATGCGCCGCATTATCATTGTGGGATTCCTTTAATTCTCAATCGTTCTGTAAGGTACACGTTTTCCAATTTACCGATTTCTGACCACAGACGCGGTCATGAACGGCTAATCTGAAATGAGCGCCATAACTCATAAATCACCCACGGCCGACATGATTTGAAAATTATCATTATTATGTCTCCTCCGACACCTGTATACATAGACAGGGGGACCGTGTACACACTAATAATAATTGTATTATGCATTTCTACGGCTCGGTGAAGCTAAAAGAGTTGAAAAAAAAAACCATCGGTTTGCATTCCATTATTATTATTATTACCATACACAGCTATCTAAGAGAATAACTCGGAAATAGGTTTTATTTATAATAAATAAATATATATATATAAATATAAATATTCAGGCCCGTATTTAAGTGAGGACTCGGAAGGGCAGTTGCCCTTAGCGGCTTTAATAGAAATGGGTTTGAGGACGGCCACATTTTGAAATGATAAAAAATGTAAAAATTTATTAGTAGCTCATTTTACCCAATGAGTTAGAAATAATATGTTTATTTCCAGAGCTTAATAATTATTAAAACAATTGAAACCCCTACAAAAACATAATTTAAATGAGTA